CTCCATGAAAATGGTCCACAAAACCGCTTTCAAAATGGTTAAGGCCTTGTGGAGGTAAGTCACTTTGTATATTCGCTTTTTTGCACATATGCTCACAAGCTCCAGTACCTTAATCTGGTCCATTTGGCATGCACATGGGCTCGTTTGGATACCCCCAGACTCCCTGAAAACGGTCCACCAAACCGTCTGTGAAATGGTTGAGGCCTCATGGAGGTAAGTCAAATTGTATATTTGCCTTTTTGAATTTATGCTCACAATCGCTCAGCACCTTAATCTCATCTGTTTGGCATGCATGTGGGCTTGTTCGGATACTCCCAAACTCCCTGAATATGATCAACAAAACTGTTTATGAAAAGGTTGAGGCCTTGGTTGATTGTTATACATTGAATATAAAGAAATATAATTGAATGGGGTTGATAATACTGTGGAAATGTTGAGGAAGCTTGCAAGAACAGGGCTAGCAAATAATTTGAGTAAAGAGAGAGCAGAGGCATCACTATTCATATGCTTAGGGTGCTAAAAGCAAGTGTTAAGCAATGATTTGGTAGATTTGACTAGAAAATACAATGAGGAGGATGAGGCGTTCAACTGTGGGAAGAAATAATTTTCGTGGGAGAAAGTCAAATTTCAGCGTTACCGCGCTGAAAAAAGTCTTGAGATCCCAGGTAATAAACGAGTCTCTTCGTAAACTCAGAGGACTCGTAAAGTAAGTGTTCCTTCAAGCACCTTGTTGAAACCAGCTGCCAATGCACCTAAATAATCTTGGTTGATCTCTGTAAAATTTGTAGTCCACCTTGAAGGATCTATGTTCCAAATATGATATAAAATCACAAATAAGCTATCATATGCACAACTGTAATTTATACCATCCCATTGAAGTCCCAACTTGATGCTAGACTTAGGCTTCAGTATTTTTTTACTCTTTTTCTTTATATTAATCTCATCATCATCATCCAGCTTATGCTTGACTGCAACTGATCCCTTAGCTGGGACAAATGTTGAAGCTTTCTTGGGTTGCTCTGCTTTCTTATCTTTGCCTCTCTTAATTATCTGCCATGGACTGTCTGTAACCACAGGTAGTATATCCATTGGATCACTTTCACTCCACCTCAAAGATGCATCTGTTTTCTCTGGAACATATGCTGTACCTTTCCAGTTTTGAAAATTTCTGATTAATGAATTGCGTGTGTATCCTACAACACAAGGAGGAAGTGACCCTTCATATCTAAGCCTGGTAATTTCATCTAGAAGTTCTTGTTCTCTGAGTTCCTGCCTAAGATATTTTGCACATCCTCTAGTAACAATACTGGGCTCAAAGCCTTGTAGAATGATAGTTCCAGCTGCACTTGCACTTCTGGAGAGGCAAGTATAGTAGACATATG